TGAACTCCTCAAAAAACCCTTATAGAAACCTTGCAGGAATCCCGATACCCGCTATATCCCTAAACCCTAGACCATCCCTAAACCCTAAACCCTTTACCCTAAACCCTGAACCCTAAACCCTTAAACCCTAACCCTGAAACCCCTAAACCCCTAAACCCCTGAACCCCAAACCCTAAACCCTAAACCCTAAACCCTAAACCCTAAACCCTTTATAAACCCTAAACCCCCTGTACCGACAAGATCCTGGAGAGAATCCTTCCGAACTCTCTCTTCGAGGCCTCTGCGGCCTCGGTTTCCTTCTCCAGGGACCGTACCTTGGATGACCGTTTCGGGCTTTGGTTTAGGGTTTAGGGTTTAGGGTTTAGGGTTTAGGGTTTAGGGGTTTAGGGTTTAGGGTTGAGGGTTGAGGATGACTGTTACGGGTTCAAGGTTTACGCTCTCGCAACTCGGACTCCGCCAGACGAGGTCTCTTGTGTCCAACTAGCACAGCAACTACAATGTCTAGTGGTTGTTAAGGTTTAGGGTTTACGGTTTGTGTACTACCTCTAGTCTCCATTGTAGTTCCTTTTTGGAAATGCCTTATAAAATCCTTAACCAAAAAAGGAACTACAATGGAGACTACAGGTAGTGATTGTTAAGGTTTAGGGTTTACGGTTTGTGTAATAGCTTCTAAGAATGAGGGACAAACAGCGAGGTGCGGAAGCTGGTGGTCGTTTAGGGTTCGGTTCAACCCCAAGCAACCCACGGTTGCAAGGACTTCTAGAAAGAATCATAGCAGCGAGCCCTACAAAGGAAGGTTTTATAGGGTCTAGGTAAGGTTTAGGGCTGCACATGTTGGTTGCAGGTCTAGGGCTCTCAGCTTCCAGATGGGCGTCGGAAGCTTTCTAGGCTTGGCAGCTCGCTGTCTCGGTGACCCCCCTTTGACTTGCAAAGCTTCTGAAACACCGGGTTTAGGGTTTAGGGTTTAGGGTATTTGAACTCTTTCTGGTTAAGGCGTCGGCCGGGGTAGATTCTGGCGGTTGATGCCAACGATATTCTTGCGAGGCGGAGTACCTATATAAACCTGGCTTATGTTCAAACTAAGTACATAGATAACAAAACAGAATTCAATATGACATGCAACATAGGCAACTACAAATAAGGAAAGTAGCACACGAATGGGACCGGTGCTCGACACCACTTTCTATGCTCGTTCTATTTCGGTGTCCATGTTCCTATGATGTTACATTCTTCTATCTTCTGTAACATACTTCCATTCTTGGGTGTACCTGTCATATATTTCCTATGTAAGGCAGGTTCTGTCTCGGCAAGAGGTTCAAAATTGAAACGACATTCAAATAACACACAACCAACTAGACATATAATGGGAAAGCACATAGAAACCAACAACAAACATAAACATACCATAGATCAGCCATAGAAATTGGCATCAGGGCGACGTCTATTTTTTTCTGGATTTGCTTCCTATGTTTCAACCGATTGTTTTGGCTGCTTCATGTAGGGTTTAGGGTTTAGGGTGCAACTATTCATTTTGCGCAACTCACAACTGGTGCAACACAACTTTCTGAGCAGTGCTTTCAAGTGCTCCTCAGATATGTGCCAAGTTTACTGCCGCGTATATACACTGTAGGCCCTCAGGTGTGTCAAAACATTGTTCAAGGAAAGCCGTAACACAAGAACGATCATCAAACAAGGAAAAGTTCCCGTCAACAACACAGGAAACACCGAATCCTAAATCCTTAAATAACTTACGTTCGTAAATCACGGCCAAGTTGCGAGAAGGTCATGCGCCTGCGTCTGGATCTGTTTTGCTGCTTGGACGTTGCCGGCCGCCTCGCTAAAGCAATGCTTGACGCAGCTCGAGCTTTGGGATTCGCTGCGTTGTATTGAGTGAAAAATCCTGGGCTCAGGGTTACGGTTGGATGAAGGTGCTCGGCTGAAAGCTGTTCAAGCTTCCAGAGATCCAATTTTTGTTTGCCGAGATCCAATTTGAAGCACTGCTTGTAGTGGGATGACAAGACTCCGCTTGGCAATGTGTCAGGTTGCGAAGGCTGAACAAAAACATCTGACCTGCATCCCAACCTGCCAGTCATAGAGCAGGCTACTCGCAGAACCAGCACGCTTCAACTGCATATCTTGGGTTGGCTACCGGGGCAAAACCCTCCATCCGAGACTCTTTCTCAGCCCGGAAGACCGTCCCAACCAAAAATCCAAACCCTAAATCCCACAACCGCCTCGTATGCATGGATCTGGTGGTGGGTGCTGTCCGAGCTGGCGCGAAGTAAATCCGCTTCGGAGCTCAGCTGTGCTGCCTTTGCCTCGTAGAGGCCTTGGGTGCCTCGGCAGAGGTTCCCACTGCGGGTTTGGAGTTTGATTTGGGAGTTCCGACCTTCATTTACTACTACCATTCCGTTGTTCGTGTTGTTCTTCGTATGATGATTTGTATTCATGGTAGTGTTGCTGTAGATCCATATTCATAGTGATTATAGATCTTTTGGGCGAAGCCGGCGAGCCGTTTCGGCACATTCATCTCCTTCCAGGAGAAAGCTGCAGGTACTAAGCCCACTGGTCGTCTGAGTGGCATGGCTTCTGATTCGAATCTTGGTCGGGGCCATCGCCCATCAGGGCTTTGGACTAAGATGTCGGGTCCAGGGCTTGCACTTCAATGGACAGCGAAGCTGCGAAGCCTTTCTTGATATAGGCCTGTGCTACCGAAACCTGCCGAACTCTGACAATCAAGGGACTCAATCAACAAGAAACCCTGGGATCGGCCACTACTGGATCGCCGAGGAGCTTTCCACCTGCCGAATTGCTGCATGATACCTCGGCCGTGAGGCTAGTGCGGCGGCTGTGTGATGACAGTGCTGGCATTGCGGCCAATAGCTTTTCATAACGGCCATACACTGTGTTTGTTCGGCCTCGGTAGAACACAAAACGTAACTTCTTCAGCAATGTCCTCGATACTGTTCTGATCTTCCGTGTATTGCCACCGTCATTGAACTACTGATCATGTCGTACTTCCACTACACATGGTATCATTCTTTCCTTCTGCTGAAACCAATGCTACTATAGTGATAGGATGCAACACTCTTGGCGTTTTCCCGCCACTGCTCATTGATACTCTTCATGCTCCATATGTCCAGGTGAATAGTGGTACGTTCTTCGTACTGTAGTTTGTGTGCTGGCTAGGGTACTGCTATACCTCTTACCTTTGCCCATTTCCTTATGGGCGGAGCAAGCACGCTTCGCGCCGCTTGGGAAGGCCTCTCCGGCTTGGGGCGCGGGACAGCCGGAGGCGAAAGCGACAAAACACAGAAATCCTCAGCGAATCGAACACAAGTGCACCGGTGCCATGAAGAGGGCGCACACCGCTGCTGAAACAAGCGCATGCACAAATAGAGACCCGTGGAATCAACACATACCTGTAGTCTCCATTGTAGTTCCTTTTTTTGGTTTAACCAACTACATATTCGGATTTTTTAAGGCATCCCCAAAAAGGAACTACAATGGAGACTATAGGTAATGCTCAACGTTGCGCAGACTTCACACCTGTGGCCTGGACTTGTGGGCCCTGGAAAGAACGCGACATGGTCGTACGGGGGAGTACCCGCACAGAACTAGGCACCAACTATGCGTGATTGAACGACTACTTCTTGAGCCTGGCTAGTACGAAGGCTCCTTGCGTCAGCATTCGGGACATTGACGGATTTGATGATTCGAAACACGGGTGCTCCTAGCAACTACGGCCACCAGCCTCTACCAGAGCAACCGCCACAGACCCACGCCAATGTCTTCTGCATGGCTGCCATCGAAGCCAAGGTACGGCCCAGCAGCCACTGCTGCAGCAGCAGGTGTCGTGGGAATCTTTGGCGTGGCATGAGCCTTTCGGTAGCCGAAAGTGTGAAGTGATGAAACCTATCAGGTAGTATGAACACGGCAAGGTAAGACCCATGTAAGATCTCCCGTGCTGTTCGACAAACCAGCCCCGAGAAGAAGCAAGCGGTAGATAGAACAACTTAGCCAGCCCGTATCGCAAGCACTACTAACTGCTAGTTCCATCGTCGTATGTCCTCGGCATCATCACCGTAAACTTCCTGTTCGAGCTTAACCCGCATCTTCATGAGCACCATCGCTGGCAGTGCCAACCAGCAACAACACCATGTTAGTCATGCTCGTCATCACCAAAGTCATCATCAAGCAAATTGCAAGCCTGACGTACCAACTCGCTTCGTCGTTTTCCTCGTTGATAAATTTTATCCATCATGTGTCAGCCATCGTTGCCACCATTACCTTCTTTTACACCATGCCGGTACTACTCGTGAGCGAAGTAGTCATTCCCACAATTATTCCATCAGCAGTGTTGTTGTAAGCTCCATCTCGGCGACGCGAATTTGCTACGAATTGTTCGTCATCCCGAACTCTTGACTGTCGGATATGGCTTCATGTGTGGCTTCCCTAGCTTGAACACTCCGATGATTTAGGGGTTCGTGCTTGAGGGTTGTACTGCCTGGGTAACCGTGGTCTTGCCACATACAGGAGCTTATTTGCTGCTACGCTGTGCGTCAGCTCTCTCAGAGCAGCTGCCACGGAGTGAACGTGATAATCTCAGAGACACCAACCCGACTGAAGCAGCAGGGTGGTCCCAAGGCATGGTCAGAGCAATCTTCCACGCTGTTTTTTTTTCTGAGATGCTACATGTCCATAGCACACTCCAAAGCCAAGCTTGAACACTGGGATCCTGCTGCTCGAAAACCTAAACTCTTTGCGGCCAAGGCCCCCCCCCCCCCCCCCCCACTCCCCTCCAACCCTAACTCTCAACCCCAAAAATCTTCAAACCTCATGCATGCCTTTACCAACCTGACACTGTACAGCTATGACTCATAAGGCGTAAACCCTGAACCTTCACTGTAACCCTATACAAAACGCCAAACTGGACGTTCGAGGACGCCTTGAAGTTGCTCAAGAATTTCTTGTTCAGCTCGTCCTCGGCTCTCGGGCTTCGCATCATAGCACGGCACAACCGTGATTTGGGCATCAAAGGGATCTAAACCCCTAAACCCTAAACTTCCTAAACTAAGCCCTCAACCACTATAAACAAATTCGGTTCAGCGTCCTGCTGGCTGAATTGCTTGATGGCTGCATTTGCCGCCTCCTGGGCAGCAGCCGCCGGGGCTTCCTTGATCTCCTTCACCTCTTCCTCTGCCTTCTTGGCGGCCTTTGGGCGCGGGGCTCTAGGGCCCCAAAGGGGAAGCTATAAGGTAGAGGGTTTAGGGTTGCAAGTTATAGGGGTTCTAGGGTTTGAAAGTTTAGGGATATAGGGCTCAATATTGGGTCATTAGGTTTAGGAGTTGCGACTTGGGGAACTGTAAATTTTGCAAGGGCTTGCTGTCGGAATGGCAGTAGGGGCTACTATATGCCGGCTCTTGTAAAGCTTACCTGGTGAGAGCTTACGGAGACCGACAGAATGGAGACTCAGGTCAAACCTACATGAGCTAACCAATTATACATGCAATTAGGCTGCTATAGGAGTGAAAAGAGGTCGCCCAGAGCAAGAACTACACTTACTCAATTGAAACTACAGATAGTTCCTGCCTTCTGATCGGGCTGGTCATAACGAAATGTAGACAGGAGTGTTGTCTGACATGGGAGAAGGAAACTATAACTGTGGAGATTCTTTCTCGGTCAAACAACTGATCATGATGGAAAGGGTCGTGTCGCCAATTCTGGAGGCTTCTATCCTTGAATTTTCGGGTCTAGGTAGGCCGCAGAATTCTCACTTCCGTAACCTCTACCATACTCTAGATCTAAATGCTAGGTGCAAAATGCCCCTGACCATCTGTAGTCTGCACTTCAAGGGCTCGATCCCTTCTTTACGGAGCTCTTGCTGGTTTCAGGAAGTCTCTCATCGGTTTTACTTGCGGCCGCGCATGCAGAAACCTGATGACCTCAACCGCTCAGGTGTCCTCTGTTGAGGGCCAAGCCGTCTATAAAGTCCGTACAACAGAGAATTCAAAGGCTTGCAGCTGTACATAGGTGCAACATCGGGTTGAAACTTCCGGAAATTTGGCATGTCCCGCATAGGGATCGGGACGTATTCAGAGAAGTTGAAGCTTTTCTTATCATCAAGCAGCTAATCTCGCTTGTGGCATGCATGCACTTTCCACGTCACAACGTTTAGCATCTAGAGCTTTGTGTTTTAGGGAGTCTGGGACGTCTCATGCCTAGTCGCTCGACCATGGAACCTTCAACCCTAAACCCCTAAGCCTAAACCCTACATCCCAAACCGCCTAAACCCCCATAGACCCTCAACCCTAAACCCTAAACCTTAAACCCCAAACCCTAAACCCCAAATTCTAAACCCTAAACCCTAAAACCCTGAACCGAACCTCAAGGCAATGTCCGGATGCATCAACACAGAAGCTCCACCTGCTTAACCCTGCGCTTCATCATACTTACCTATGACGTTGTAACTCTTTTGTCAGGAAACGGTTTAGGGTTTAGGGTTTAGGGTTTAGGGTTTAGGGGCTTTATGGCTAGGGCCCTAGATAACATAAGCAACAAGGACGAGTATGGGTCTTGGGCTTTGTGAGGACTTGTAAACCCTCCATCCTAGTTTCTAAAGGCCCCTGTGCATATCACATACAGTATATAGCTTGACGCTGCTGAAGTAGCTATAGAAGCATACTAAAACGTTTCACACCAAAGCATCGCATGGGCCCTCAGAGTATACACTACCGGAAAATTTGACACCATGCATCCGCCTGCTGCGCGGCGAGAGCGTAGGCACCGGCCCTTTCTGCCGAGTGCTGGAGTTCCGTCTTCACCTGTAACACAAAGGGGTTTAGGGTTTAGGGTTTAGGGGTTTAGGGTTTAGGGTGAAGACCCGGGCACTGAAAAGATCAGGGGGCTTCGTAACTAGGGCAAACAAAACGTACGGTAACTACACCCATAGCTGCTTAGAGTGCAATGAGGGTGCATCCACCCATGCTGATAACTACCCATAACCCGCGGCGCTTCAAGTAGGCTTCATGGCATAGAAAGCAGCAGCAGAGCTGCCAAGCAGAGCATGCAAAGCTTTCCCTAGCTGGCTCCAGTAACAGGAAGTTCTCGAACAAAAATGGTTGCTGGGATACATACTATCATAGGTACTTCAGGAGATGATGCTTCTCAAACCATATACTCTGTAGTGTTCAGGCAGCTAGAGGCTTAGGGTTGAACGTGTTGAAGGTCTAGACAAGTCTAAAACGCAGTGGCAGCGGCTCGATAGTTCACGCGCTTCAATGACACTCTGTAAGGGCCCATGTACCCAAATAGTAGATACTTTGGCCTTAAAGTAGTCCCTATTTGGGTACTTTGGGGCCAAAGTATCTACTATTTGGGCACATGGACCCTTAGGGACTCATCATGATGCACACAAAGACGTTTGGCGTTCCGAGCGCCCAGAGTACTCTCGTACTTTGTGCTCCCCCTCATTGATTCTCGGCACCTTAACCCAGGCCATGTTTCTTAAAGCCGCCTTACTTTGCGAACCCGAAATCTGGAGTCCTAAACATGGAACCTTAATCAGTTTACCACCCCACCCTCAACCCTAAACCCTAAATCCTACAAGCCCTAAGCCGGCGCAATGCTTGCCCTAAACGGCGAATCTGCACCAAATACAGTACGAACTTCTGAGCTTCGGTATCTATATGACACCTGAGTGGCCCGAGAACCCAATACCCCTTAATTAAGGAATATACCTTAAATGATGATATTGAAGCCGCATATAATTTGAGGTCTATCCCTTAATTAAGGGGTATTGGGTTCTCTGGGGAGAAATCAATCGGAAAACCCCTGACACGCGATACCAAAAGTTCCTGGGGTCTACGGTTTACCACAAGGTGTGGGGGTCAGCGCAGTGAAGTGGAGTAGATGAAATGCTACACCCTCGACATCCAGACCCGAGCCATCTGAGCAAAACCCTACAAGCCCGATGATCGATGTATCTGTAATTCATGGGCCTCTGTACCTTTTCGCCCGAAATGCCAGTACTGCCTGTTTGTTCTTCCCCCAAATACTGACCTCCATTACTATATACCATCCCATCCCCACACGCATACTTTGGCCCCTTAGAAAACTGAACCCAAAATCCCAAACCCAAACCAGCTGCAGGCCTCCTCGAAAAGGTCACCGCGGCTGTGTGCCACTGCCAAGCTCGCCGCGGTGCGTGCGTTGGCTGCAGCCAGGGACGCCTGCGGCTTGAGTATAGGGGTTCCATGGATGCGTCTAATGAGGGTTTTGGGTATCCCACACGCCCAACTGACCAAGTCTCACCGCAGTGGCGGCGATCCTGCGGTTCTTATACAGGCTCTGTAACGAGTTCTATAAGGGCATGGGATTTTGGAATTGGAGGTTCTCCGGACGAAGGTTTAGGTGCAAGGATTCCGTGGTCTGAAGATTTACGGTTCAGGGTTGGTTGAGGGTTGCCTGAAGCCTCAAAACCCTAAGCGCCCAGCCTTGTAAAAGGCTCGATTTGGGTGGTTGTCAAAATTAGGGTCCCTTTCTGGGTCCTTATTATAATACGGCACCTATTATTTAGGGTATCCCAAAAGGGACCATAATCTTGACAACTACCCATTTGTCTTTGGGAAGTAGAATTCGGAGTGGAGCCAGATGTACAGGACAAGGGCCGATCCCACCGTCAAACCGTGCAAAAGGTTCAGTTTAGACTCTCACCACTAAGGATTTACAGTAAGGAGCTTAAGGGTTTAGGGGTTACCCTAAGGGTCCAAGTACCTAAGAATCATGTACTCTCCCAAATAGTAACCTACATAACTACTATCCGAAACCTAAGTACCTGATTGTTGGGTCCTTTGGACCCTTGGGGTTAGGGCGGTCTAGTTTTTTCGGTTTTAGGGTCACATGACATGCGACACATCATCCCTGGTTCGCTCCCCCTCTTCGGTGGGGGAAAGCCGTGCACAGCCTCAACAATCACCTTAACACGCTTCCTAAACCCTTTTCACACCAGCCTTGTTTTCCAAACCCTATAAACCCTAAACCCTAAGCTCTACACCACAACACGAAGCAAAAACCACTGCACACCGAACCTCAAGAAGAACAAAACCATTGCAAATACGAGCGCTGAGTTCTCCGGTCCCCAACCCTCCAGTTCGGGACCCTGATTCGCCTCAGCCCAAACTATAGCCCACGAAAACTGAGAAGTGGCTATAAGATGCAGAGGCTTTGGGTTCAGGGCCCCTAAACCCCAAACCCTATAATGAGGTGGTGGAGCTGAGAGCTGAAGCTACTGACCGCAGTGCTCGCAACAGTCTGACAGTTGCAGAGATATGGTTTAGGAGTTTGGGGTTTTGGGTTTGAAGAGTAAGGTGCTCTCTGGACGTACTTTAATGCATACTCTAAAGCACTGAAGACCCTTAAACTAAAAACTCCAAGTACCAAACTACTGCATGAACCCTAAGAAGCCTAAATCCCGATCAGCCCTGAACCAAAACCCCGAGCTCAGCTAGCCGTAAACCTAAACCCATCGAACCCTGCAGTAAAAAATAGCACCAACTCCCGACCCCCCTCGAACTCAAGGGGTTTAGGGTTTAGGGTTCAGGGTTTAGGGCTTAGGACTAGATCTAGCATAGTCCACGGCACGTAAATACTAGGACTTAAATAAAGTCTTATGATTCGAAATTCAACGCATTTTCGAAGGCTCCCTGAAATTTACGATCCCCCCCCCCAGAATTGGGAACTAAACTCCAACCAACCCCAAACCCAAAGAGCTTAAACTCTGAGCCCGAACACCCAGACCCGAGAAACCCGATATAGCCCGGAATAGTGGAACGAAAGGGAACGAAAGCATGAGTTTAGGGTTTAGGGTTTAGGGTTGAATCCTCCCCCCACAAACAAAACTTAGCCCTAAACGCACACCCAACACGCAACCAACAAGAAGTGACCGCCGGCCTCGACTTTGGCGACCTTCGCTTCGTTCTCCATGGCCTCCGTCTTCTTGTCCTGGATGCTAGGCGTCATACTGAGGCTTTGATTAGATTAGCTGAAGAAGGTGTTCGGGTAAGTATGTACATTAGAGTACTATAGTTAGTAGGGGCCACAAGTAAAATCAGTAAGCTTTTGGGGTGCATTGTAGTCTAGTTCGAGACACCTGGGTTTGCTGCCATGTCGAGCCCTATCCTAGGGTTTGTAGAAAGCTGGCCTAAAGGAAAAATCGTGTCCTGTGGGGTCTCTGTGGGTTTCCTCAGGCTAGTTTCTATCAGGAGCAGGGATCAGCGTAACGGTTCGTGGTAGAAGCGGCACGGGGGATTAGCATTTTAGGGCTTTGGGCATTCTGACAAACGGGTGCCTCACTAGAGGCATCCGTCGGGCTCAATGCTTGCAAGGGCGAAATCTCTCAATCCGAAGAGGGCTATATGTGTGTGATATGCACGTTTGCAGGGTTGTGTAGACGTTTAATAGGGTAGGGGTTGCATCAAGGCTTTTTGGGGACCTTCGCAAGGTTTTTTAGGGTTTTGCGCCGGTCCTCAGCCTTTGCCACATCCTTGTCCTTGGCTTTGCAGGTGCAGGATTCCGGGAGAACGCGGCGTAACTTTAGCTTCGAATGTCGCAAAGAGGGGTGGTAATTCAGGGCCGGACACGTTATACCATACTTTCAACAAGGAGCCCTCGTACTAATTGTATGTGGTATGTGATATGTGTGCTCTCCCCGGCCGTGGAGCCTTCCTCGCTGTCGTTGTGCGAAAGATACATGCTGGTTTAGCACAACCCGAATGTGAACAAAAGCGGCAAGCGATGTTCTACAGTTGTATGCTGGTACGAACCAGCAATGGCTAGACTTGTCACTGACAGGCAAACGGCAAAACATCGCTTTGCTGTTGTGATGTTGGTCACAACTATTTGCTGCTACCATAACTACTAATACTATTATATTAGTATTACTAATCTAGCCCACCGTTCTGTATCAATGCTGGGTTCCTGGTAATCCCCAAAATTGCCAAGCAATCTTGTCCACTTGCCCCACTGGGCAGGGAGCAAGATTGCCAGCCATCTAATGGTCCAAGATTGCTAGACGACACCAACATTGCAAGATTGCTGGCAACCTCGCTTTTCGACCAAGATGCCCAAGGTTTCATGATGAGCAAGATGTACTCTCTAATTAAATGTTCTTTATTCGCGGCACACTGTAGCAACAGGAGTAGGAGTAGACGTAGGGGCACGGGATTGCTATTGAGTTTTCGCGTTCGTTGTTATAATTGGGTTTCCGAAAGGTCATGACTGTGAACATAAAATGACCTCAACATTGTGATTATTATTATTGGCATGACCATTAGTACCATGAGTAGTATGATTATGATGCTTCTGATTATGACTATCGTCATTGTTATCACGAGCCATATAGGACATGCTATTATTCTTATGCTTGTTATTGATATTGTACCATCATAATAGTGGGCACCCGTGGCAAGAATGGTGCCAGAAGTCATGCTAGCAAAGCCAGTTGTAATCCCAGTTTGAAAAGCACCGTCTAGAATTTTCATCAAACATTGGAGCAGATGGTTATATTAATATTATATTTGTGTGCTGACTTTCATGCTCATACAGACCTCGTCTTATACATCCATGGAAAGACCAGAAGTGCTCCACCAAAAGGCGGCACCAAGCGCTGCCGAGGGTCCGGCTTCTCCATCTGCGCTGCCCCCTCGTTTAGGAGCGAGCTGGCTGGGATCAGAGGCGATTGGTTCGTCGGGTCGTCGGCTGGAGTGCAAAGGTTTTGCTTGCTCGAAGCATCGTGAATGCAGTTCTGCAGGCAGAAGCGGGAGTAGTCCGTCGCACTTTCCGCAGACTCGATATCGAGTTCTGCCCTTGCCAAAGCTGTGGCACTGGCAGCTTTGAGATCGTTGCACTCGGCAGGGCAGCTGGAGGCTTCTGCGATGGTGAACAGCGGTGTGCATACTACCGCCGCGTTGGCGCTGCCAAGGAAGGAATGGGGATTTGCCACCGTCGCTTCACAGCAGCTGCAAGTGCAAGCGGTGAGCTGGCTCTGGGTCTTCAGTGCGGCCACCGGCAAGATGATGGGAAGCAGGACCTTGAACATTGTCTGGGCAGAAGTTTAAGCTGTTTTTGTCAATGTTAACCTCTTAAAGTGCATAAACAGCCTGAACCGTTTTAGTGCTTATGCTCTCAGGTTTTGCGATTTCGGCGATCGGGTGAGCAGACGACAAGTTACAAGCGTGGCACAGGGCAGGTCTCAAAATACAGATTAGAGTTTAGGGCTTAGGATTTAGGTGTAACTTACCAGTAGCACCAATCGAAATAGTAGTATTGATAGGGTTCTTGCACTCGGGCTTGCAGAATGTAGAACCACAAGTAGTTGAGTTCACAGACACCGCAGTGAATCCTGAAAAGTCCCAGGTGCTGCCAACATGACTCTGGAGCACGGCATCCCACAGGCTAGTCACCCGGAAGAGTTCTGGATGGCTACAGCTACAATTCAACTGGCACACATCTGAGTCGATGTGCTTGAGCAAAGCATCGGAACAGAATCAAACTGCTCATTTCAGCATGGCTCATACGAAGCAGCAGGACCTTCAGGTGAAATCCTGGTGTTCGTTTGTCGTGCATGTGGGACTATATGGTTCCACATGACATGAGCAAGCTGCGAAGCTTTCCCTGTCTCCCTTGCGGAAGGCAACCTAAGAACATCTCCTTTTAACCACTGTGGCCAGGACCCAAGTTTTTGGGCAAAGCCCATCAGCATCTCCACTCTGGAGAAGCTGATTCTCAGGCACTAAAAGTGAGCAACCACAGGCGCAGCAAAGTCTCGTTTGGAAGCCAGTCGTGCGGACAAGGGCACGGTCGGACATGATTCCGACTGCACCTTAAGTACAATCGTGGGGACTTTCCGTATTTTAACTATGAAAAGGAACCCCGGTATTTGTTCCGGCCTCTATATTACACACTTTCTTTGCTCCCTTGCATTCCACTCCACGGTTCCAGGGCTGAAACTCTGCGGAGTCGCCACGAATGGTGAGCTCACCTCCTCGGCAGAAGCCGACTTTTCACGAACCCCAAAACCCTGAACCCGAACCTTCTAACCCGAAGGCCTATACTTCTAAACCCCTTAGGCCCCAGGTCCTAAAGCTAAACTCTAAACTTCTAACCCTGAACCCTAAGCTTGTTATGCACTTAGGCCCTAGGCCCTGAACCCTCTAAGCCCCCGCATCCAAAGCATGAAGCTGAGACAGGAGTGACACGTGTTGCACCCTAACCCTACATCCTAAACGCTAAACCTTGAGTGACACGTGTTGCAGTGTTGCACTGTACACATCCTGAAGCCAACAGCGTGAGGCAGCTGCCCTGAGGCTCCTCATACCCTGTTTAGGGCTTTGAGGCTTCAGGGTTTAGGGTTTCGGGTTTAGAGTTTAGGGCTTTAGGCTTTTTTTGACACTCACACTCGGACAAGCTTTTAGGCTTCAGGGTTTAGGACTTTATACTTTGTCGTCGTTGTTGCATCTTTGTTAAAACCCTAAGGCTCGAAGCACTCATCCAAAGACCATACTCTATCAGGCGTTGGGGCTATTGTGAGCTTTAGAGTAATGGCTCCAAACTACTCTATGAAGCTACGTCGGTCCTACTTCACTGCATGCCCCAGTACGGAATCCCAGTCTACTTCAGGGGTTCTTTATAGCACAGAGACTGGAGTCTCGGGGCAGCCGGATCATGGTACCCTAAGACTCCAAGACCGCAAACGGCCCAAAGTGAAACTGTCTATAGACAGTCGACCCAGAGTACGGTAATGTTTAGATAGTTGGAGTCTTAGGGGTATGCAAAGTGGCAAGTCAGAGGCATTCGCGCACCAACTTGGCAAAGAAGTGCAAGTACCGAACGGCGCAGGCCTCTTGCTGAGGACGCATGTGGCAAGCACAATGAGGTGGAAGGCAAACTTGTAGGGTTTAGGGTTTAGGATTTATGCTTCAAACTGCGAACAAAGAAGACACATTGGTTTCTGATGACCAGAACTCCCAGGTATAGAAAAGAAGCCAACAGCTACGAGCAGCTGTTTAGTCGTAAGAAGGGCAGGCTGCTAGTATCGCAGCACCACGTCATTCTCCTCGTCTGGATTCGCCTCTGCCGCCTTGCACGATTCAGCTTGTTGTCGGAGCGTTTAGGCAGTGCACTTTCAAGCCTGACAACCTGACACGTCAGCTGAGTGCCTAAGCCTTCCCCGGATCCACTGACGTATGTTGTGGTGTGTATCCAGTTTTGTGCATGTGCGCATGCATGGCGGTATTACATGCGAACTTTGTACGATACTCCATAATACACAAGCCGTATGAAGCCACACAAAGGCTGCCAGAAACACTGAGCAAACTCCTTTTCTACATTACACGGTAGGCTGCCAGCCAGGTCCAGTGTCGAAACGGATGTATCTATCGATTTATTTGCCTTAGCTATCTATACGTGTCTTCGGCATATAACCCCTCGCCACTGGTTGAACACAACGAGGCTGACCGAAACACTGAGCCATGCCAACCGCCGCTGGGATTGCGGAGCCCGGGTTTGGGGTTTATTGTTAGCCCTAGACCCTAAACCCCCCAAACCCTAAACCCTGCACCCCAAGACCCTGAACCCTACATCCGAAACCCTAAACCCTGAACCCCAAAACTCCCCACATCCCTAAACCCTGAACCCCAAAACTCCCTACATCCCTAAACCCTGAACCACAAAACTCCTACATCAAAAAACCCTACACCCTAGCTGGGATTCATTTCTCGATCCTCTTCAACCTCCAACCCCCAGGTCCAACACCACCGAGCTTGGAGCCTGGCACTATTTGGGCTTTAGGGGTTTAGGGGTTTAGGTTTAGAAGGTTGAGGGGTTTAGGGTCCCGAGTTTAGGGGTTTAGGGGCGACTTTACTACTCCTCGCTCCAAGTACAGCGTCCACCCTATCAGCCGTAAGGTAAGACCCATCAGACTTATCCTGTCAGCACAGAAACCTGAGCTTTACCCCACAAGCCGTGAGCCGACAACGCCAGGAAGTTGACGCCTCCCAGGATTTGCCAGCCCCCTTCACCACAGCCCGGGTCTGTGATGTGCCGGGGCCACCTGGATCTATGGCTTTGGGTCCAAAAGAATCCCAAAGTCATAGGGGTTCAGGGTTTAGGGTTTAGGGTTTAGGGTTTCGACTTTAGGGTTTAGGGTTTAGGGTTTAGGGTTTAGGGTTTAGGGTTGTTACTGTTGGGGTTAGTATAGCTTTGGGCTTGAGCCTTCGTTATATCGTAGGGTTGCTCATGGGGTCACTATGGCGTTGGGGTTCAAGCCTATCTAAATCACAAGGCCATTGTATCGGGGCTACATGGGGCTACCATAAGGATTGCGAATGAGGTTTTTGGGACTTACGAATAAGCAGGCAAGGTTCAATCTCGCGATTTCCGGTTCTGAGAGCTTTGGGTTGCAGGCTCAATGTAAAAAGCGGAAAAAGCTGGCTTCAGCGCACACCGAAAGCACACAGCATAATCCAACCAGCCCTCATACGTCACAAGGGTTAAAGTTTCGTCGCAATTGGCTAGACTCGGCTAGACCATCTTGCGGAGGATGCAGTGCATTTTACCTGGCCTGGCTTGCGGAGGATTTGATCCACGATAAAATTCTACTACTATACATAATGTTCAGAACGGAAGACTGGGTGGAGGAGTCTAAGGGGAAAAGGGGCTTGTGTCGTGCTCAAACGCAACATACAGATTGCAACGAACTGTCGTCCTACCGCAGTATTCCCCTGAATCTTACACCATCATCGGAAGCCCTGCAGAACCACCAATCGTGATCAGCAGGCTGGCCTTTTCCAGGTACGCGGCGCCAAGCAAATCCAGGTCCTCCTGCGCTGGCCAGCCAAACAGCCTCGTCCATGGGCAAGCTAGTCCTCGGCTACAAGAGATATAACAAGGCTTGCCATAATGGTTTTCGATTGTTTTAGGTTGCCGGAACTGGGTGCCAGGGTCGACAAAGCTAATAGCTGACGCATTAAGACATGAGTATACCGGAACAAAGTGAACTATCACTGTGAGTTCCAACCTCTATGCAGCCTGTGTCTGGCTAAAGTAAGCATTGATATCCTCTACAGCTTCGATCCCTGGGGGCTTAATACTTCGCTTTTCCATGTTCCAACTTATGTCTTCCACTAATTCGCGCCTGAATCAAAACCCAGGAGACATAGTTTCAACATCTACGCCTTTCTGACCATACCTTCCAGAGGCTTCAGGACAGCCGGTTATACCTTGAATCCACTGAAGCAACCATTAAACGAACCCGTATAGTTCATTATTCTGAAAAGTTTCCTAAACCCTGAACTATAGTTAGATGCTGCTCAGACTCGGCGGCTGAAGAAAATACTTGCCGCTTCCCCATTCCAGACACTGCTTCGTCACGTTCCATCTCAAGCTGAAAGGTCTACGCTGAACGCCGCTGCGCTGTCGCTGGTGCCGAACTACGTCCAGGCCATGCACCTGAAACTTGACGATAGCTGCGGGGACAGAGTTTCGGATCCCAAAGAATGAATTCGTCTGAACAGTGCGGTCTGCAAGGGCACCCTGCATCTGAAGCTAACCAACCCACAACATTCTTTACACCTGCAAATGGGCGAACGAAAACACAGCGAATATTGAGCGTGGTAGCCTTGCTACATGTCCTGCTTTGTGCTCATATTACCTGTGTGTTACATGCACCGTAGGTGAACATCGCCAAGCTCCAATGTCCTCCGAGCAACAACGTAGGTTTCCGAGGAGTCTCGCTGACTTTCCCAATGGCCCTGGAGTGCCGACACCACGAACCTCAGTCATATGTTCTTAGAGCCGGAACAGAAGTCTTGCTTGGTTCCACCTAACTTGCCAAAATACAAGTCTCAAAACTAATACTTGAAGAGAATTTATTGATGTCCGATTGCCAGGTCCAATCAAACCTAGACGTCAAGCCCTGATGCCTAAACCCTAAAGCCTAAACCTGTGTCCAGTTCAAGGCATGCAAGCAACCGAGCACCCTCGGCTTCGGGCGATGGCTGTGACGGCTTGGCTTGCCCCTTACCTGGGCTCTTGTTCCGGAACATAACATATAGATAGCTACTACAACTAGTCAGACTAGCTAAGTGGTCGATTGCATGGCAAGTCAATTCAAAAGTTCCTTTACAGGAGCCAAGTTTCCCGTCTCGGCTGGCCACCTTGAATAACCAGCTTTCCCGTCCTTTCCTTCGACGGGGCATTGGATTCAGGGTTGAAGATTTGACTTTTGCGGTTATATACGGTTCAGGGTCGTGGGTGCCCTCGCAGCCGGGCAGGGCAAGCATCTAATATAGTGGCTTCAATAATCAAAACAAGGTTTTGCGGCATTTCTCTACTATGATTACAATAAGGAGCCCCCCAAGCAGTAGTGGCAGTGGTTGAAGCCTCCATAATAAGTGCCAATCACGACCGGACAATACGTCCACCTGACATGGCTTTGCGACGTCCAATAACCTCCCTACACACACGAGACCGATCCAAGGCTCCGTGCTTTCCAGTGTTTGAAGCTCTGCCTTCTTCCAGAATTCTTTTGTCCTGCTGCATGCACCCGGTCAGCTAAGAGGTGCTGAAACATTAAGGCATTCTTCCAGGGTTTTTCCACAAGCTTGGGGGGAAGTCTCAGGATGCTTGCACAGTATCCCTCAGCAGAATTCACAAACTGCAAGCTGCAAGAGGTACATGGGTGAAGCACTCAGCCAAGCTACTTCCTCGGCCCGACGAGCACTGAACAAGTTTCTCGGAACCTTCTAGTTCTTGAAGCCTGCAAAACCCTGAGCTTAAACCCTTATGTTGGTACCCGACCCTACGCCCTAAAACCGCTGTATAACCCTTATACTACTGCTTATAGACTATACAGAACCCAAACAAAATGGCAACCCTTCTGGAACTGCTCAGGCACCCTAAATCTTATACAGTTGCAGAACCCTGATAGAATCCACATACATATATATAGTAAGCCTCAGTGAACCGTTTCAGCACTTTAAACCACAACCTTTAAACTTACACAGCTCTCGACCTAAGGCATCTCTGAACCCTTCTGGCCCATGGAGTCCTGTAGCTTGTGTGCCTGGCCGGAGCCGTGGCGAGGACTCGGAGTGCTCGCCTTGGTTCATATTACCATGAAATTGTATGTGTCTTCGGACCCCTAAACCCTGATTAAGCCCTTACAAGGATCCTTTAAGGGTTCGTCTGCAAAGTTTTAGGGTTTACGGATCCTTTTGGGTGGCCTCTCCAGCAATATCTTCGGAAAACAAAACAGCAAACAGCGAAACGTGTCCCCAATAAGAAAACCTAATCTCAAAACAGACCAAGTGTCGCTGTTGCCATCCGAAACCGTTTTTGCTACTGGACTCACGTCTAGCCGGACCACGACCAGACTAAACTCTGAACTGTTGTAACCTGTACCGTGCAGCTTACTTCCACAGCACGCCGCCACACAACAACAAACTAGTAACTAACAACTACAAGGAAAATGCGGTAACACTCCATGTTTGAGGAACTTGCGAAACCATCAGTACCACAACAGTATGCTAGAAGACACTGTGATAAAGACTAGGGAGCTGCGGCAATACAAAGTCCCATGTTTCAGGATTCATACAACTCAGTGCCCAAATAATCTTGCACACCCTCTTTCTTGCAGATCCATCGAACTTGAAATCCGTCAGAGTGGAGTTGAAGGTAACAGCATCGACACGAGTTGAGAGAGACCCGGAACGGATCGCGACAGGATACCCACACCGGAGCATGAACACTGCGGGGTTCGGTTTGCCCCTGTGTTGCAAACAAATCGGCGGCTGTTGTCCGACGTTGACGATTGGATGCCAATGCACGCAAGCCAATTAGCGTGCAGAAGAAATGAGGTTGAACCCACGTTAAAATGCCAACGGTTTCTTGTAAGAAACGTGGTCCATGGTCCAGGTCGTACACGTGTGAAAGGATGCGACACAGAGGTCAAAGATGCCGAAGTGATGTGGTGCGAGTGCTGCCTGAGTACATGCCCCATATGTTGCCATCGACGCCTCATAGCCATTGATTGCCGTTGGAGCTTCGGGTGCTGCTGCAATAACAAAGCGGCGACTCGTCTGCGGAAACGGTTTATCAGGAGGGCAGTTCCGTCCAGGACATCATGGGGCAGATGCAGTTTGAGGAGTAATATGCAGAAGTTGCGGTGAAAGCTTCGGAGTTCTTGGACCTTCCAGCATAGGTGCATACCAGGCCCATTTGCTGGTGACATGGCGGTTGAAGCACTCAAGAGAATGAAGTCCTTGGTACCAGCGGGTGCGCTTGATGATGCTTCGCATTCAGTCCCATGTGACATGAGTGACTTTCTTGGCCTCGTTGAGAAACCTGTTCCCTGTCAGCGGGATCGGAGCGCCGTAGGGTTTGAATGACCTGCGAAGGAAAGTACAACTGCTTGCCCAGTCGCAGTTTCGAAGTAGACAAGATTTCGGACAGGTTCGTTCTCCCTGAGCAAGCATAGTGGATTCAGTAACGACTTGAGTCTTCTTGAAGTTGATGTGCAGGCCAAGGCTATCCAGCAGGTTTTGGAAATCTTGTATGCCTTGCAAAGCAGCCTGCCAAGATGGAAAGCAGAAGATGCAATCGTCGACATAGCACCAACCTTAAAGTTGGCTGCCGTCTCCAAGAGAAGTTCCACAGTTGAACATGTGGAAAGTCCTTGTCAAGTGTTGACAGGTCAGCACCAATCACATGGCGGTTTTTGAAGCTTGAAGCTGCCTGCATCGAGTGGTCCTTCGGGGACAGAGCAACCATAGAAATTGCTCCATCCAAAAGCGTCTGATTCATTCATGGGCCTGAACATTCTACTCAAGACTTAAAACAAACGTCATAGACCGAACAAACCTTCGGCTTGTCAGACACAGCCTTCCTGCTGCGGAGTGAGCCCCACAAGAGTTCAAAAGCAGTAAAGGCTTCCCTCCTCTCCATAAGCTCTTGTATCCCAGCATCAGAGCCATGTAAATACACTGGTTCCCAAAAGAGCTTAGCCAAAGAGTTTGCGACTGTCGCAACAGCAGGCTCAATCTTACGAGGCCGGAAGCTGTGAGCAGGCAGCATATAGAATATAGAAGAAGGCTCGCGAGTCCTCCTCCAAATTAAGGCTCGCGAGTCCTCCTCCAAATTCAATTTCTGAAGCGCGTGTGTTTCGGCCCACGCATTTTCATTCAGAGAAAAAAATAACCCCCAGACGAATCTTTCGTAACTCTGGCATGCTTCAAGGCAGTCTATACCAATTCCACGAACGAATCTTCCTGCTAGCGGGCCAGGGTGCATCATCGACGGTGCCTGAGGCCAAAGCGCAAAATGTTTTTAGTTTCAGAAAAATCAGGTTGAAGATCGAGGCGTGCGTCCGTCCACTTGCTTAAAAAATCTTCAGCAAACGCATCTGTTCCCCGATCAGAGCCTTCCATTGAGAATCGCTGATGGCGTTCCAGTGCAAGCTAAACTTCAGCTTCAGTATATCCGGCGGCCATTGCAAGTGCCAGGTCTTCACGTGTAGGCACAGCTGGGCTGTGGGGAATCTCCCATTGCAAACTGTCACCAATCACACTAAGTCGAGGCATTGGCATGTTTTGGGCCGAAAGTCTGCAATGAAAGCAACTTTAAGACAAACCCGCAACGGGGTTTCCCAACCCCTACAACCCTTGGTTAACCCTCAACCCTAAACCCCTAGACTTCGACTGCAGGGTGCCCTTCAACCCCTAGACCCTAAACGAACCCCTAAACCCCGAAAAAACACGGAAAAAAAAAACGAAACAACCCGAGACCCTAAACCCTCAACCCCTACCAAAAACAACTAAAACCCAAAACCTTTGTTTGCATTTGGTTTTCAGAGACTCAACCAGGACAGAAACAAGGGGCACACCCGAAGCCCACCCCCTAAAACCCTAAACCCCCCAAAACCCTAAAGCACCAGCTGACCAAGTCTCCTTGCTGCCATCCTTCCTCGGCTCCAGGAGACGCGGGCTGCTTACCAGGGGGGTCCTCGGCAACTTGATGTTGGAGGGTTTAGGGTTTAGAGTTTGGGGTTTAGGGGTTTAAGGTTTATGGGCTTCAGGGATTTAGGGTTTAGGAACTTAGGGTTTAGAGTTTGATTTAGTGTTTGGGTTCTCCAAAAATGAGGCCCTCATTTGATGGCCCGAATGCTATTACAGATCCAACTATTTCGGAGGGGTTTTGAGCTCCGGGCTTGGATCCTGGTTTTACGGGGCCTTTACGAGTTGGGATGTGGATTTGGAGGTTTCAGTGTCGCCCATGGTGCCTAGAATCTTAAGCAAAAGAGGCTGCAGAAGAATGGGAACAGTGCTGTTGGGAACGAAAACGAAATTCTGGCCAGAATCACAACATGCTGAGACCGTCAACGAAGAGGGCTCGTTTTGTTCGATTGGGTTCGCGATCACCAAAGCTCTGGTAGCATTGATAGCTATGATCTCCTGGCGCTGTAGCTCCGCTAACCTGGCTTCGTTGAAGGTGACAAACAATGGGGATAGGCTCCCACCCCGCAGACAGGACGAGGTGCTTGCGAACCTGCCCATATGAAATGAATGTCTGTTCGCCTACTCAACCTGGAGAGCTACAATAGCTCGGAAGTTGCCGTGGGGGAAACAATATCCAACAACCTTGTTATGCAAATGCGCCCACCCCTGCGACTGTGGATTGCGAAGCATAATTTAAAATGGCACTGCTGCTTTCACCCCCTGGCTCCTTCTGAGCCACAAGCTCCCGTCGCACTTTCACACTACACCGGCGGCAGGATAGACTGAAACGCAAAGCCAGGACTCTCAATCCTGCTTTGGATTCCTTACAACGGCCCTCAAGCAAAACACACGGCTTTCCCAACCATACAGGATGCCACAGGGGTTTAGGGTTTAGGGTTTTTACCTCTGGTTGACTGGACCTCAAGGCTTAAACCCAATCCACCCCTCAAGCGCCGGACCCTGGAACCACACTCCAGCAGGACCAACAACGCAGGCTCGAGCATACGGCGTTGACCCTAAACCCTATAAACCCTGAATCCCTAAACCCCTAAACCCTTAAACCCCAGATCCCTAAATCCCGAAATCCCTGAACCCTAAATCCCTCAACCCTTAAACCCCTCTAATCCCTAAATCCCTAACCCCTTAAACCCCGGAGCAAACTCAACTCGTCCAGGCCGCAGTGGGCAGTGCATCTTCTCGTTCTTCGACTCTGCAATGGCATTCCACATCTTCTGGTCATTGACTAGAATCCTTGTTTAGGGTTTCGGGTTTAGGGAATCCTGCCATGGTTCTTCAGCACAGAGGGCTCAGGGCTACTATTTGGCTACGAAGCCTAAACCCGAAACCGTAGCATATGTATATATATATATATATATATATGGCCACGCTAGGGGCTGTAGGACTGACGCAGCTGAAACTGTGCGGGCTGGAGGCTTCTTTCTTGGAATTTCTGGCGCAACTCAAGAGTGAAGGGCGGAACTTCTCTTTTTGCACAGACTTGTACATGCCCTATAAACTCTAAAACCCTCAGTAGGACTCTTAGGATGGCGGGATCTGGATCGTGTCGATGCGTTGAGTTGTAAGAAGCGTTTAAGGCATCAGGATTGAACAGTCGGGCTTTGCAAACACAAGAAAGGTCACGAAGCAGCCGAGGAGGTGAATCCCGCAACAGCAACTGGACATCTTGGATCTAATTTCTGACGATCTTCCGCACCCCGATCAAGCCTCAAACCCTATAACCTCGAGCCCAAACCTAAGACCCTCAGCCCTTAAACAGTACATGCACGCTACAGAGCACGGGCCCTATGAGGTGACATACCGGGGGAAAGATTTGGGAGTTTCCGAAAATTAGGGGTACCTTATTGGGGGTCCTTATAATAAGGATCCTACTATTTAGGGTACTATGTTAGGGTCCCCTATTTTCGGAAACCCCCATTTGGCTGGAGGCCAGAGGTTCTTTTCGGAGGTTCGGGGTTTCGGGATGCTATTGTAGTTCCTTTCCCGGTTGTCTCGGCTGCTACTACAGCATCCTGACCGCACAACTTGGGAAACACACAACAACTACGATAGAGACTATAAGCCTGTAGATTGAGCTTTGAAGTTTGAAGGGGCTTTGGGAATGTATTAGCAACGACCGCGAGATGACCTGACAGCAATCGGAAGGGTTTCATGACCCAGCACTCGGTGTGTTTCCCGGATCAAAACCCGTGAATCCAGAACCTTGCGGCAAAGACCTGGAGCCCCAAAAACGTTGCCTGCCATCCCTTCGGTTTCGAACCATGAACATTGCGAAGCCCTTCATTTGAGATTTTCACCGTGCCTCGGAATCTAATATATAGAACCCGCGTTGTCGGTACTAGGATCCTAGCCATCCGGACTACACGGGAGCCCCAACTTATGATACGTGGAAACTGTTGGGGACCTTCTGGGATCACACGAAAAGCCATTAGCGAATAGCGGCCAAGAGCTCCCAGAAGCCCGCTGGGTTGACTTAGTCTCAAAACCTGAAACCCTTTGGTCACCTCATCTAGTCAAACCCTCCCTCTTTACACCCGGACGTTTCAAGCTTTGGGCTTTTGGGCTTGCGGTTCACGGTTTAGGGCTTAAGGCTTAGCGGGTAATGGGTAAGGTTTAGGGCTTAAGGCTTAGAGGGCAACGGGTGAGGGTTTAGGCTTCGGGTTCGCGCTTAAGACCCACGATGTTCCGTGGGCCCCCCTGGATCCAGCAGTACGAAATTTGTCTATATAGTCTATCAGGTTTGGTATGCTCGCTGGCAGGCTGATCGTGATTTGCATGTCCGATCCTGCCGGAATTTGATGCAAAATCCACCACTCACGCAGTCCGGCTAGTCATGGTGCTGAGGAAAGACTCACGTTTATGAATCCAAACGACGGACCCGATTTTCAAGCCGAGAATGGGGGTTTGCAAACCGAGAGTGGTGGTCTGCAAAATGCCATTTTCGACCCAAGACGGATGGTTTGCAAACCCCATGTTCGAGCCGAACATGGTTCGAGACTGATGTTTGCAAACCTTATTTTCGAGCCGAGATTGGTGGTTTGCAAACCCCCATTCTCAAGCCGAGAACGGGGGTTTGCAAAGCCCCATGTTCGAATGTTGGCACACCCATATGTTCGATCCACTACCATCCACCACTAGCCACTGATAGCCAGGAAGATGCACTTATGTCCACTGATATCCAGTAGTCCACTAATAGCCACTAGTCGCCACTCATAGCCACTAATATCCACTAGTAGCCACTATATCCCCACTAATAGCATGCACTGTACTAGCTTATGTCCACTAGGTTCAGAAAACACTTTTCGTGATTCACGAAAGGTTCCCTAGGTAGGACATGCATAAGTTATTAACTTCAGCATCCCTCATGATAAGAAACTTCCACAACCCTGCCAAACACACAAAAAGCAAGAAGCCCTACAATGCCCCACGGAACCATGTATACACCCCTCCCCTTTGTAAGCAAGGCGACATCCCTCGCCCACACCGCCGGTCGACGATGGCTTGCAGCTGTTGGCGTGCATCCTTGTTGCCAGACAAGCCCGCCTGGCATTTTAGCGCTTGGGGTTTCAGAGTTTAGGGCTTTAGGATTATGGGTTTAGGGTAGTTTACGGTAAAGCGTTGAGGGATTAGGATTGAGTTTAGTTCTGCATTTTCTGGGTTTGACACGGATAGTTTTCACAAAGCCGAATATATACTACTCCTTCCTTGTAAACCCTGAAATACTACACTGCATTTCAAGACCTTTGCACTCTCCACAGCCTTGCACGCGCCAAATTAGAAGAGGGAGCAGTGGTGGTGGTAGTAGTAGCAGTAGTAGTTGTTGTTGTTGCAAAAAGAGGAGTGAAAACAACAGTAGTAGTGCTACGCGTCGTCGTCTTCACCGTCGTAGCAGGAGTGGGCAAAGGCGTAGGAGTAGCAGTAGCAGTAGCACCACTACTCAGGAGAGTAGCAGCAGCAGCAGTAGACGAAGCAGCCGCCAAACAAGAGTCCAAAACCGAAATCCTCATAACCCCCTGAATGCAAGGTTCGGCATCAACCTTAAGCAGGATCTTCTGAACCATTGAAGCCCAAATGTGAAGCACTCCCGAGATTCAAGACTGCAAATGCAAACCCTGCAACCTACGCAGGGTCCTGAAACCATCGCAGATGTGAACCCCGAAAGCACCGAAGGCTGAACTAGATCAGTGAACCTCTGCAAGCTTACCACCAGTTGAAAATTTGAAGCCCGGAACCACAGCCCCCGAAGACTAAGTGACGCAGCTTTCAATTCCAAAACCATGCCCCTTAGCTGACACCTATGAACCAACTTCCAATCCCCTAAACCCTAAACCGTAAATCCTAAACCCTAAACCCTGAACCCTTTTTTTTTAACGAGGTCTCTCTGAAGTGCCTCCAAGCTGCCCGCCACAGCGATGACTCGTGCATCCACAGGCAAGAAACGCGTCAACCCTGAACCCTAAACTCTAAACCCCGCAAAGGCCGCTGACCCTACCTCGCCTCGGCAGAATCACCGAGATTGGCGATGACCTCCCCCTGCCGGATCGCCGCGAAGCGCCCTGGGCTTCAGGTGGACAAGGTTGCAGAGATTCAGGATTATAGTCGAATGTACATAGGGGCCTTAATAATTAGAACAGGGTTTTGGGGGTATACAATGCTATAATCATAATAAGGAGCCCAAACAACAGTATTGGTTATTATTGAGGCCTCTATACTAGGTTGTTTGCCTTTTGGGGTTTAGGGTTCTTTTCGGCATTTCTTGGAAGCCTGGTTCGGCGAGTTGGGCTGTATTCTGGGGTCTCCACCCTGCTAGACCCTTTCGAGCAACTCCCCAGAGAACCCAATACCCCTTAGTTTGGGAATATATCTTAAATTACAGAACCTTAATATTATGATTGAATACTTATGCTATAGCTGTACTGCTTAATGACAGGGCATTCCTTAATTAAGGGGTACTGGGTTCACAGGGTCGAGACCCAAACCAATATTGTTAAACGGCGACCGGCTGAACACCGGAGAGAAACATGCAAATAGGGTCTAGGTTTTTTGATTAACCGCCCCTTTTCTCCTAACTGTTGCAAGGTCACAGAAAGTCTTCACAAGGTGTAGGGTCTAGGGTTTAGAAATGCGAGGCGACGAACGCCGGACAACATGGGACGACCAGCTGAACAAGGCAAAAAACAATGGCAGAACGAGCACACAAAGGAAACGAAAAGACGGACCATCAGCTGAACACCGAGGGCCAAACAAAAAACTTTCAGAGGAACCACTCCCCTCAAACAAAAAACGAATGCGACGAGCAGCTGGACAACGGAAAACAACGGAACGAGAAGCTGAACGCCAGATATACAAGGAGACGAGAAGCTGAGTAGCAGAGAAACACTCAGAATGTCAGCTGAATACTGATAAGACAAAACGGGACAAGCAGCGTAAAAGCTGACAGAAGCGGAGCACGACAAAATGACGGGACCAGAAGCTGATCACCGATAACATGAACAGGACGAGCAGAAGAACATCGGTGACAAAAATGGATGAGCAGCTGAACAAAAGAAACATGTCACGAGCAGCTGAACCTCTCCCCTCCCATGCACACACACACACACACGACAACAAACGACGAGCAGCTGAAGAATGGATCCCCCTCACTCCTCACAAGAAACGAACTACAACGGACCAGCCCGTTGAACAACGAAAAGCGGAACAAGCAGCAAAACACCTACAGCCAACAAAGGGACGAGCGCCGAACACCCCGCGGCAGCAGAAACAAAGAACAAAAAGGCGCCGCAAACACCGGGAAATGGATAACAATAGAACAATTTAAAACAAGTGAAAGGAAACAACAGCTAAAGCCTAAATCCTTAAGCCTCAAAGTTAAACCATCAAGCCAGAAGAGCCAAAAGCTCGAGCCCCTGAACTCTGAACCATAAACCCTGAACCCCAAAGCCTAAAGGCCCTAAACCCTGAACCCTAAACCCTGAACACACCTGGACCTGATGAATGCCAAACCCGAAATCCTGAACCCTGAAGCCTAAACCCTGAACCGTCGAGCAGCTGAACTTGATCATCCACTGCTGGAGCTCCTTGCGCAGCTCCTGGAGTTCCTCGGGGTTAGGCTTCACCTGGGTCCACGGTACATGTAGGGCTTAAGGTTTAGGGGAGTTTAGGGTTCGGGGTAGGGGTCATGTATGAATAATTGTTCATGGTTCTTGGTGTTTCCAAGTATCTAGGTCATGCGAAAAAGAAGAGAAGACAGTCGAGAACCTGAGGACATGACACCTGAGTATGCCAGGGCAGCTTCCCGACGGGTCCATGCATCCATGAAATAGGATACGCCTTGATCTTCAATTTCCTGTAAAGAAACCCTTTCAAGGCCAGGGTGCATACCATGTAGGTACACGGACCCTTATGGCAAAGGAGTTTCCGGGAGCAGGCTGCAGAGCAATCAACCTACTTTGCAGCTAGCTTCTTGTTAGGCTCGGCTCTGCCAAACGGCTTCGGATTTCGGGTTTAGGGCTTATAGGGCGTGGATCGCCTGAAAGCCCTAAGCCCTTTCGGAAGCTTCTGCCCGGTCGGTCTCTTCAAATGACCAGCCACATGTTCAACCTTTCCCGCTGAACTCTAAGCCCTATAGACCCCTGCACCCCCAAAAACCCTAAGCCTGCTTTGAAACCCACAACTTCGATCCCTCTCGGTTCTAAGCCAAGCCTGATACAAGCCGGTTTAGCGGTTTTTTCCCACCTTCGGGTTTAGGGTTTAGGGTTCAGGCCCCAAACCCCACACGCTAAGCTCCGAACCACGAACCTCACACCCAGCTTGTGGCTCTCAGGCAAGGAACAACAAATCCCAGGCTCTTCGAGTTTACTTGGCGGGCCATTTTGGTTTTCCACGGGGGGTCTGAACCAATTATGCACCCAAACAAAGCCCTACACCCCAAAACTCAAACCCTCCACGCTACCCTAAGCCCAACCTAAAGCGGCTAGGCTGCAGCCTGAAACACCTAGGGATCCCGCACAACTGAGCTTAGAGAACACACGAACCAAATTAGGTTTTAGGGCCATTTTCGGGTTTAGGGAACCAAACTAAACAATAAACAAGCTTAGAGCCCTCACCACAAGTAGAAGCAGAGAAGTGGGAGCATCACTAAACAGTATAGGGCCTCCCAGCACTAATCAACAGCGATCCATGCTCCAACTGGGTTTTGGGTTTAGGGTTTAGGATTTGCAGAGCTCGCAGCAAATCGAACAAACAGCCCAAACCTGAGACCCAAGCCCGGGCTCAAACCCTACACCCAGGAGAGCCTAAAGCCAACCCGAAACCCCGAGATCCTGACATCAGATCAAGCAAGGTGCCGGTAGAGGGACATGCACCTCTACGGCCGTTGGATTCCGTGGGTCGGTCTCCAGCTTCATGAAGCCAAGCATGCTATCCTCCAGAAATAGGGTTCAGGGCTTATTTTGTGACGCTTGTGGGGCATTAGGTTTAGCAAGTGTTGCTATAAGGGTCACTTTTGCGGGTATGTGGTTTAGGTCTTAGGGTACGTAGCCTGCACCCAAGAAGCCTTCATTTGCAGGGTGCCATATGATGATTGCTGTATAAAGTCCATAAACAATCTGGGTCTCTTCGGGCAGGCTTTGCTGTTTCGGACTTTTCGCTCCACGCTGTGAGGATTTGAATAATTTACGTAAGGTACACCCTAAACCCTTAAGCCCTAAACCCTAAACAAGAAACCCCTAAGCCCTAAACTCTAAACCCTAAACCCCTAAACAAGAAACCCCTAAGCCCTAAACCCTAAACTTTGGGCTTTCCTTGCCGGGCGCCCTGGATTTCCGGACCGAGCCGAATTGCGAAGGAAACCGCCCTGAGTTCAAGACCCACCCCAGGAAACGAAACGAACCGAAACGAGGTTAGGGGTTCGGGGTTACGGTTTAAAAGGCCAAAAGACCTGAAACTAAAATGTAGGTATGTCTTTCCATGCTTTGCATTACAGGGTCGGCAAGACCTGTGACCCAGGCATCATACCACAACACTCTTCAGAAGTCGTAAAGGCCCCTGCCTTCCGAACAAAGCAACCCCTTACTGTGAGCCGGCCTCAAACCCTGAAACATCCGATTCTGAAGCCCCAAAAGTAGGTAAAATAATGGCAAAAGGGTACTATTCTTCCTAGTTAGGGGTCCAGGTAACCCCCAATGCTGAGCCCTAGTCCCAACAAGAAACGCTAAACCGTCAGGCCCACAACAACGCCTCATAAACCCTTAAACCCTAAACCTCTCCATAAACCCAAAGCCCTACCCTATAATCCTGGGTTGCAGTATCGTTTTCTGGGCACCCTGGCTTTCTCCCTTCTCCAATCCTGGTCAAAAGCCCTAAATCTTCTTTTCATGGCAAGACCCCGTCGCCTGAAACCGAACCCCAAAGCCTACCTAGCTATAGTCTGCATTGTAGTTCTTTTTGGGGATGCCTTTTCAAATCTTTGTTATAAAATTGGTTGAACCAAAAAAAAGGAACTACAATGGAGACTACAGGTAGGCCCTAAAAAACCTACCTTGCTATGGACTTGTATACGGAAATCATCATAAGGTAACCCTAAAAAGGTAGGTTCTCTACTAGTGAGGAAGAGCCGGAAACCCCAAACCCTAAGAAGTTAGGTTCTTTAGGGTTTAGGGTTCTTTAGGGCCCAGGTAGAGCCCGAAATCCGAGCCAGGTTACCAGCTTGGCCCCCGAGGTTGTCCACACATGGCTCAAGCAGCACCTCTTGCTCGTGTGCTTTAGGGTTTAGGAGCTTTGGGGGTTTGGGCTTTAGGGTCGAGAAGGCTCTCGGAAGGAGCGTTGGAGAAGCAAGTGCGCCTGAACAGAGTTTAATGTAAGGGCATTGCTAATTAGAGTAGGATTTGGGGCATGTTGTCGTCTTAATTATCCCACAGCAAAGCACACTAAAGAATTGTGTTGGTTATTTCGGCTTCTATCTTCTGATTCGTATCCCACGTACCTAGCTTATGGCATACGTAGAAGATAAGGAACACGGGAGTGGTTTGAAGGTCCGAACAGGCTGAGGGACAATGTTTATGATACTACGGTAGGGATCCCCAATGCATAGTAGAATCTACTCCTTGTTTCTGGCAAATTAGATAAACCTCCCATACAAGAACTTGGTCTTGCTTTCTTGCGGTTGAACGGGAGAAGAGGAAGGTGGCCTTTGTAGTCAACGACTTTTTGGTCCAGAATTTGGGGCTGCTCCGAACATCCGCACAACCTGACTCGCCAGATGGGCTGTTCATGGTCGGTTTGCTGCGAGTCAGATCTGTGGTCTGTCTTCTTTCTTTTTTTTAGGGGGAGGGGGGGGGGGTCGGGGGCGGGTCGTAAGAAAACCCACACTCTGAAACCTAAACATCTTAAACCCCAACATCACTACATTGATCCCTTTCCTCAAGCAGGCACATCCCAAACTCATATTGCATAAGCTGGAATGCAGCTAGCTTCAAGCTGCAAACAGCTAGATGCTTCATCTTACTTGATAGCTCAAGGCTAACATCCAACGATCGGCTCCAAAGCTAACGTAGGGGCCTTAAACAATTATTTAGAATCGGGTTTTGGGGCACGTTATCATATAATCATCATACGAAACCCCCAAAATCACATAGGTGATTATTTAGGCCCCCAATATTACTAGAGCAGGCCCCATCCTCCCACAGGAAATCTCTGGTACTGCAGCCAAATGCCTCAAACACTCAACCCTGGAATGCCAGGCTTTACTGAAGCCTAGAACCTCAAACCACGCAGGAGTTGAAGATAAACCCTTGACGGAGGAAAACTAGTTTATGTAATGTACGGGCCTTAATGGCTAGAATAGGGCTTTGGGATCCTTTGTAGGATAATGATACTAGGGATCCCTATGGAATAATATTGGCAATTATTTCGGCACCCATATTGACTTGCTCATAAGGGGCGGACATATAGAAGCGAGGAGGGGCCAGGAGAGCGACCAGAGAGGGAGGTAGACAATATGGAACCTAAACCCTAAACCGTGGTATGTGTCTGTGCCTCTGTCGTTCTTACGTGATTTCTTATCAAGCCCTCTACCCCTGAACCCTATGTGAAGCTCCAAACCCTACAATAAAACTAGGTTACGACCTGCTCTTAATTTTCGGGTAAAGAAGTGTCGAAGTTGGCGACAGGGTATACCCTTGAACCCCAAACCTAAACTCAGCATGGAGCTCCAGCCAACTCCAACACAATCAGCCGCTAACTCAAAACCCCAAAACCCATACTGCTTGGGTTTCTTGGTTTCCGGTCTAAGGTTGGGATTTAGGGTTGGGCCCAAACCCTACCTAAACCCTACACCCTCAGAGTCCGAAAAAGCTGACTCCGCAAGGCGCTTCAAAGACAAGCGCTGCTGCGGGTTCACCACCAGGAGCGATCGGATCAGGTCCTTGCTAGGGTTTGGGGTTTAGGGGTTTAGGGGGTTAGGGTTTAGGGGTTTGGGATTAGAGTTTAGGGTTTAGGGGTTTAGGGCTTAAGGTTTATGTTTATGGCTGTTGGTGCTAGCAGCTGCCAAGACGGGTTGAGCATCCTGCCTACAGGGCTCTTTACCTGCGGATCCAGGGTTATGCCCTACCTGTCTCCATTGTAGTTCCTTTTGGGGGATGTCTTATGCAGTCCTTAATATATAGTTGGTTAAACCAAAAAAAGGAACTACAATGGATACTACAGGTATGATTAAGCGGTCATAACCTACTATTATGCAGGGGTTGGGGCTACAGGTATACAGGTTTACGGTTTACGGTATGCAGCTGTCTATGTTCTAAGCATCCCATGTGGGGATTCGCAGCATTCCGCACGGGTCCTCGAAAGCTAGAACCTGAGGCCTGGAAGCCCACCTGGATAGCCTCTCAAAACTAGATTACTGTAGGGACCTAAATAACTACCGATACTTTTTTTTTTGGGGGGGGGGGGAGGTGTGGTCCTTATCAAAAAAAGGATAATACACCAGAGAACCTATTCTAATTGTTAAGGTCCCTCCATTAGGCCATTGGGGTGTTGGGGGTGTTTAGGACTGTTGGGGTTTGCGCTTTCGCCACCCGGACACAGCCAGACGAGCTCTCTCGGTTCGCATTATTTAGTATTTCTCGTGTTTTTTTGCCTCCCGAGGTTTAGGGTTTAGGGTGCTTCGAAAAAAAAAAGGCAGAAGCAAGAGTAGCTAGGAGCAAGAGCAAGAGCAACGGCAGGCCCCCGACAGGAGCAAGAGCTGGAGCAAGAGCAAGATCCTGCCCAATGTGACAGTAGAGATAAAAGTCCACCCTCATAATAAACACACTTTTCGCGTTTCTATTGCGGAGAAGGGGGGGGCCCGTTTCATGTTGGGGGGGAAGGGGAAGGGGTTAACGTTTTTTGCCATACCAGTAGGGACTACTGTAAACCCAACTTCGCAGAGATGCACATATCCAGAAGGCACCTTCCTGGGTTCAGGGTTTTCGGCACTCTTGCAAGTTGCACATGTCTTCCAGCTTCAGATTGCGACGGCCGTCCTTGGCTCTGAGCTGTGGCCCAATTATTGGAGAACCGAGCTCGTTGGTGAGGGTCCAAACCTGCAAGGTCCTGAACCCACAACCTCAAAGTCATTCAGAAAGGCCCCAGCGGTCAGGGAAGTTGTCGCCCCGCAGAAAGCTCACATGCACACGATAAACCCACCAAGATGTAAAGCCCGAGCCCAAAACTTCTAAAGCCCCCCTGGGGCCTGAAGCACACACCCTTAGCTGAGCCCTTTAGAAAGGAAAAAGGAAAACGAACGAAGCGCCTCAAGTTCTCTAAACTTAAGACTTGCCCCTGTTCTACTATATAAGGCTTACGCCCAAGAACCAGTGACCCTTTAAGGGTTTAGTTACCGATGCCTTAAACCCTTAAGCCTTAAGCCCCTCGCCTGTGCTGCCGAGGACAACTCTGGTCCCGAGGTCCGCCTCCTCAGCCAAGCTGCGTGAGTTTTTAGAAGCACTAGTTGCTCAAGCGCCCTAAGAACCGCAATAATACTAGCATTGTTCATGATCCCTTGGAGCTTTAGTCAAAAAGTACAGAGGAATTCCGAAGAGCACGAAGTTACATAATGCTTGGAGCATGTTAAGTGTCTTACCTGGGCTCTGTAGGGTTCACAAAGGGCAAAATCAGACACGTTGGTGATGATACTGGCGCTATTTTTCCTTCCTACATGGCAAGGACGAGCCCGCATTGCAGGGTATGATCAATAGCTTTGGCAGACGCAACAGAAGTCAGCTCACATCCAGCTCGATTTAGCCAGTGGCAAGAGACTTTAAATTACGAAAACAAGGCCATCAAACTGCCTCAGCAGCCATGGTTCAGTACACGCACAGCTTCACTTCTTGTCAAAGCACACACAGTGACTCGTGTCTCCTCTGTCTCTTCTGTTGCATTTAAACAGCTCAGCCCGATTGCACTACCTCTTCGGTTGCACAAAATTCAGAATTACTACTTACAAATTCGTAGTGCAGTCGCTTGCAGAAAATCCGACAAGGGATCTATGATTTCTTGGGTTGCAAAACGGGGTTAGCAAAACTTAGGGTTAGGGGTTTACAGTTTAGGGTTGAGGGCTTCATGGATTCTGCGCTTTAGAGATGTGAGTTGAGGCGCTGTCCACCCTTACTCCAAGTTAGTACGCCGCTCTTTTACTTGGGTTTTCGCTAGTGGGGAGGAGTCTACGGTGTTGAGAGTTTAAGGTTCGCTGTCGAGTCTTTTAGGTGGACGGTGTTGGGGTTTCCAATGGCCCTGGCATACCTATAGGACAGGACCCTCAAGGTCCATATCGAATCTAGGCCAAAGCCTCCAAAACCCAGGCGCCGTGAAGCCACACGCAGGACCCCGTCAGTTACAGAACAGCCAGCCTCAACGCCAAGTCGCTGAAAGGTCATATTGTCCAAGCTTTCTTGCATGCGACTGCCACGATGGTCGCCGCTGTCGAAAGGGAAGAAGCCGATGAGCCTAAGTTCTTGGGGAAGCTGTCAAACTTATCTAAGGGGAACAGCTGTATTGCATAACCAGTAGTAGAAATAAGACTTGCCCTCTGACTCGCAGCAGCGGCACTCACGGCAGGCGTATCGTCGCAATAGTAGTAATGCTCCTGCAAAGTCCTTCCTCTCGGGGTCCAATATCCCCTAATTAAGGAATATACCTTCAGCAACAGTAGGAGCCCTGAAATGGTTTGATTTTTTAATATACTCCTTAATTGAGGGATCTTTGGAAGGTCTGGGTTGATTCTTCCGGAGAGCTCATCGGCTCAAACCACCAGCTCGGGGGAAAGCTTCGATCTGCCTGCACCCTACACCCCAAACCCTAATAAACCAGGAGTAGACCCTTCGCACAACCTCGTTTTGTCTTTGGGGTGTGGGGTTTATTGGTTTCCGGGCCCATCGGAAAATCGATTCTTACAGCATGCGTTGCCACAGGAATAGCATTTGCCGATACACCCATCCTGGCTTTGGAGTTTAAGTTTTTGTCTTTGTAAGGGCTTGGGTGTTGCCTGCGTTTTGCTTCGGGGGTCCTGGCATCGTTGTAGGGGTCGCAGGAGCCCCCCTTCTCTTCCTGGTCTGATGGGCGGCTATTCGTTGGGCCCTTGCTGTAGCAAGTTGCTTTGACATTCTGCTCCTTGGCACAAGGACTTGCGCAGAAAATCCTAACCTCTACACCGGTTTAGGATCTAGGGTTTAGGGTCTAGGGTTCAGGGTTTTTTGCATCAGGACTTGTGCAATCGCCTCTAAACCCTAAACCCTACATCTTCAGGTTTGAGAAAGAGAAAGCCACCCGCCTCATGAACAACTCTGGGTTCCTCCCAGGACTCGTGTAATATGCGCCGGATCATCCCTCCTTCGACTCCGACTCTTCGTAGGGTTTAGGGTTTAGGGTTTAGGGGTTTAGGGCTTAGGGTTTAGGGTTTAGGGTACCTATAGTCTCCATTGTAGTTCCTTGTTGGGGTTACCTTATAGGATCCTTAATGTAGAATTGGTCGAACCAAAAAAAGGAACTACAATGGAGACTATAGGTAAGATGCTTAGAATAGAGGGTAATCAACTAAAACTGAAGCCACAAGTAAACCTTGAACCCAAACCCTAAACCGTAAGGGAAAACGATGAAGAAACAGGCCCAGCACCTTGAAATCTCCAGCTGCAGGCAAGGCACATGACATACCTCAAAGGCTGCAGGCATCAAGCGTGCTCTCGGGCGTGATATGTGTTTCGAATTTTAAGGTTCGGGGTTCTGGCTACGATTCAGGGTCGTGCTTCAAGACTTACCCAGGAATGGGGAGTTGAGTACCTACAACTAAAAAGTGAGTGGTGGGTGTGCTGGAGATACCACACCCAAACACCAAACCCCTTGTGAATGAAGAAACGTATACAATTATTATTATTGGTATTGTTGCGATTACTATTTTTCTTGCTAATCTATCCCTAGGGCTCCAGGTACCTAAATACTGGGCTAATGGGCTCCATATTATATGACTAGTAACCTACTATATAAGTTACATAAGCAACTGGAGCCCTAGGATATGTGAGAGAGAATCTGTAGCAGTCACAGGAGACCACCATCTGACAAAAGCAGCCTCGCCGGTGTGGATTCAGGGCTGCTGGCACAAAGGCCAAGATCACTGCACAAAGAGTCTTGGAGGCACTCCTCACTCAGATTCTTAATCCCGGCAACAACTCACGTCTAGCTCAGCTGACACGGCATCGGCTGTGAAAAGAAGCTCGAAACCCTAAAGCTTAAATCTCTCAAGGCACCCTTGTTTTGAGAATAAGGCACCCTAAACCATAAACCTTAACCCGATACCCTAAAGATCCCCGAAGCTTAAACACTTTAAGACCCTGCACCCTCAACCCCGAAGATCCCCTAAAGCTCAAACTCCTCAAGGCCCTACATCTTAAGACCTATAGTTGATGATATAAGCCCTGCATTACCTAAAAGACCCTAAACTATGGGAAGTATGGAATATTCAAATGCAGCATTTGTGTATCATCAGCCGTAGCAGTTGAGGCGAGGGGCAACACGACCCCCAAACTCCACAGATCCACGGACTGATCGTAGCCAAGTGCAGCCTTCTCCGGATCACAGACCTGCGCAAGGCTCTGTAGCTTGAGGGTTCAGGGAGGGCTGGGGGTTTCGAGGTTTATATAGGGGTTTATACTTTAGGGTTTAGGGGTTTGGTACATGTAGGTTTTAGGGGTTTAGGATTTAGGGGTCTAGGCTTTATGGGTTTAGGGTCCAGGGTTTGGGAGTTTGAAGCTGGGGGCTGACATGTTGATCTAAGTGTTTGGAGGTTGAGGGTTCCGGGGTTTCGGAATGGTGAAGTTTACGGGTTTACGGCTTACAATAATAGGAACTTACCTCCATGGTAGTTCCTTTTTGGGGATGCCTTGTAAAATCCTGAATATGTATATGTAATTGGTTTAACCACAAAAAGGAACTACAAAAAAGAGACTACAGGTAGATTCCTAAGGTGGTTGTGTGGGGCTTCTTGGTTTAGGGCTGCATCTCCAGATGGACCCTGGGCTCCGCTCCGTATCAATGACAGCACCCTGGTACCCATCGTCCATGTACTTTTTATAGCATCTTGTGATATGTTATAATACCTTCTAGTATCTTATAGCCTGCATTAAATACTATGGTATCTTCTTGTAATGTAGAGTATTGTCTTAGATTAGTGTGCCAGCTGGTCGATGTCGACCGCCTGGCAGCGTCAGCGCTACCATCGCATCCCGTCAGAATTGCACTCAAACGTTGTATCTCCGAAGTGCCACCTTTGTCAGTGTGGTCATGCTGCGGCTGCACCTTCCCATTGATGCGGGAAGGACCACCATCACCACGACGAGCTGAAACAGCGACAGACTCCACACTGTGTCCACAAGTGAACTTCTTCGGGGCATTCGTCTTCTGTCAACTCTATTCGACCCCTAAAACTGCTGGCTGGAACTACACACCAATTACCGTAACTTGTCTCGGACCTAGAAACAGATCAGCATTCTAGGTCTTCGAAACTGCAGCCGTGCCAAGCTCGGAGTGTTGTAACCCGAATCCGATGCTCGAACCTGCACAGCGGGCGTTGCCAACACTGGCTGGCTGCATGAGTTCAGGATGCCCGCGTTGTACAAGCCTCTTAATGCCGGCCCCCCTCTTGCAAGCTACAGGCCCTAGACCCAAATAATCTCACCCTTAGCACCCTTAGCATCAAAGACAACAGAAGCAAGCCAAAGGTGTTTCCGAAACTGTGAATCTTGAAACCCAGATCGGGTTTCCGTGCCTCGGGGGCCCAGTACATGGCCGTGCCCACACGCGCCGTGTGCCTGGTGTTGAAACCTTGCGAAGCTTCGTTGTGGTTGCATTCCTACTATTTGCCTTATTCACTACCAGTATTAGTTCCTTGGGGTTCCGTACTATCGTCAGGCGAAAAAAAAAACCCCAAAGGACTATTCGAATTCATGGGGATGTAGAGTGTGAAGGGTCCATAGGGCGCTGATGCTGCAAACACCGAACCCCAGCTTCCTGAATAGACGGGAGTTTAGAGTTACCGTAACAAAAACACGCTAAGCAGGACCAGAAGGGAGCAGAACGCTTCACAGAGTTTCGATGAGGTTTCGAAAGAGTCTAAGTAGTGGCTCGTAAGCTTGTCAACCCTGCAACTTCGACCCTCCCTAAACCCTAAACCCTAAACCTTCAAACACTAAGTCCTGAAAGCCCCGAGCACTGTACACCCGAATCCCTAGACCACTAGATGCCGAAGTTCTCTGAAGGCTTAAGTTGAAATGAAAGCGAGAGAGAGCAGCCGTCGTTGATAAGACGGGAATGGCCGAAGTCGGATAGCTTCACCTCCTGGGCAAAAGTCTTGAGTGTGAATTGTTGTTGGGGTTGCTGTTGAAGTTTACGCTCTTACTTCTTCCTGGTATCTATATTTAGAACTCTGCTTGAGGCTTATAACCAAAGGCTTCAATGCTTTTGCATGTAGGGCTCAGACATATTTGGGTTGCAGGTGGTTCCATGCCAATGATCAAGAATCCATTGAACAAGTACGTACGAGTACTAGTACATAAACAAGAAATCAAACTCAAGGGCTTTAGCACCCTAAGCCCTAAAAGCAGAGTGCTTGCAAGCGCGCACTGCTTGAATCCAGACGTCATGAGGCCGAGGCTGGCCTCTTTCTCGGGCTTCTACAAGGTTTGCAGGGTGACACGGTTTAGGGTTCATATATATGTATATATATATATTATAAAGATAGTTAGATAGATAGATAGATAGATAGAAAGATAGATAGATAGATAGATAGATAGGGGTTTGGAGATTTGGGTCTTAGGGGATTCCGGACTAGGCTGGTCGAGGGCTCCTAGAATCCCGAGGTTTTCGAATCGCAGACTCGCTCAAGGCAGGCACGGGTTCCAGCAGAAGTCGGAACACGCGATCACATAGCACAGACGGAAGGAACAACTCTGAAAAAACAAAGATAGCTAAAGCACAAAGAGCATGTGAGACATAAGCCCTAGTCACGCCAGAAGAAGATCCATTTCCTTCCATCTGTCAGCTTCCATGCCAGAATGCACCCAAGCAGCTACAATCAGCTAACAACAAGATCCGAGATTGTGGTGTTTGGGGTCCCTAAACCCTAAACCCTAACGGCAACAGTCTAGGTAAAGTTCGCGTGCCAAGACCGCTGAGACCCTGAATCCTTGGCTGATGGCACCGCGCCAACGGATGTGCTTTCGGGATGATGTTTCGGTGTTCTACACTAAACGCTCTTTAGCACATGTACTTTTTTAATAGGACCTTAATTATTTTCGTTGAACATGCACTTTTTAAGGAGCTTTGTAATCAAAGGCAACGAAGACAAAGTCAAATTCAACGAAGAACAAGGCATATTCAACGAAGGCAGCTCCCTCGTTGAATATGTTTTTCTTCGTTGAATTCGCTTCTTCCTCACTTGTAAGGGCTCAAGGTTTAGGTTCAGGGCCCAGGGTTCAAGTTTCAGGTTCAGGGTTTGGGGTTCCAGGCTCCGGGTTCAGGGTCTAAGGTTCAGGGTTCAGGGTTCAAGGCCTAGGGTTCGTGTCAAGGGGTTTAGGGGATGTGCTGGGGTTATATCATAGGATTAACGTGCTGCTGCAATTCACCGTGTTAAGTTTAAGCTCTAGGATCCAGGATGTCGGTTTAGGGGTTAAGGATGAAGCTCTAGGATTAATGAAAACATGTCGTTTCTCAATGTTGAGGGTTCCTGGGTGGGTAGGAATTTTCTTAGGATCGAAATAGCGAGCCCAACTAGAGACTGCTCGATCCGGAGCTGCTGAACCCTAAAGCCCAAACCGTCAAACCTTTAGGGTTTAGGGTATTCTGACCCAGCTTCCAAGTGTTCCAGCTTCGATGCGCCTTCCTAAGTTTGGCAGCAGCTTGTACTGACAGGTGGCATGGTTGATGGTCTAGGGTTTAGGTGGCTGGGGCTGTTCCGGTGCGCATCTCACAACCCTAGAGCCATCTTCATCTCATGAAGCCGATAATACTAGTACTCCTCTTCCTCCTCGTCTTCGAACTCCTCCTCCCCCACCTCCTCCTACTTCTTCTTCTCCTGCTGCTGCTTCTGAACTTCTGCTGCAAGAGTATTCCTGCCACTAGGACTCCTTCTGCCACTGATGCAGCAGCTACTACTCCTTCTACTCACGGCTACTGGTAGAACAGAAGCGACATGTGTGAAATTCTCATCATTCCAAATATGTTTGATGTCAGAACAGCTCTCTTTTTTTGCTGCTGGCAGCTGTGATGCTGCACCGCTGCTCGCTAGAACGACTTCTTTTTTGCTTGTTCGGCTTAGTCGCTTACAGCACTTTGTTTCGGGAGTTCGGGAGGATATGTAAGCATGCCCTGCAGCCGCCGCAGAGTCTACAAGAGTCTACTAGCGGTCATTATCAAGTGTTAGTCTGCTATATCGACACCCATTCATCGCTGCAAGCCTGACAACTTGCTTTGAACCTTGTGCTGTTTGATAGGCGTCACAGTTTCTTCACAAGGCCCCTCTCGTTGCTCACAGCCCTAGAGATGTCTGTGTTTCAAGTTGTTCAACGAACTACAGCCCAAGAAGGCCGTAGATTGCACAGATGCCCCAGGCGAGGCAAACCATACCAGGGAGAATGAAGTAATCCACAGAAAGCTTTCGGAACCCGACCAGACATTGCAGCCACGTAGCATCGACCAAGACGTTGTCCTGATCTTGTGCAAATCCCCTACAGTCCTAGAGCCTAAAACCTGTACCCTATTGGGCGAGCCTTCTCCTCAAACCTGTACTTCAACAAACCCCCAAACTTTAGGATCCATTTCAAGAGCCCCAAAAGATCCAATGTAGAAACCTAATTGAGAAGCCTCGTCTTGAATCTCCAGTGCAAACCTGTGTAAGTGTATGCTGAGAATAACTTCGCTAGTAAAAGCCATGCTTTCCGTGAGGCTCCAGCATCATCTAAACAGACCTGACTAACATCTGTGTAAATATGGGGGTTTCCAAAAATAGGGGACCCTAATATAGTACCCTAAATAGTAGGATCCCTATTATAAGGCCCCCAAAACAAGGTACCCCTTTTTTCGGAAACTCCCATATGATGCCAGACTGCTTGGAAAGGACGGTCTTAGGCAATGGGCTTGGGGTTTTCAAGCTAAGCCCTAAGCCCTAAACCCGAAAAGCCCGAACGCCCCAAACCCTAAACTCCCTAAGCTCTACATTCAGGCCGCGGGGGGAGAATCGGCGAACTCTTGTCCGATGTGTCCGTAATAAACTCCCTAAGCTCTACTGGCTTGAATTAACTGTGTTGTAGTTTTTGCGCCTCTATAGGAGCCATAAAGAGAAATTAACAAGCTGCTCAAGGTGCCACCTAATTTAGCCCCGAGGCTGGCTTCAGGTCGCGATGGATGATGCCTTTCGAATGGATGTAGGAAAGCCTTGGCCGGGACAGGGTTTCGGCGCTCACACTCGGACAATCCAGGCGAGGCATATGGTTCGAGTCTGCAATGTGAAACATACTAACGGTTTGGGGTTTTAGGGTTAGGGGCCGAGACTTTCTGTGAATCGTAAACCCTAAACCTTAAACCGTTGCAGCAGGAAGCAGGCACCTGTCCCAGGTATGTCGGACTGCAAGAAACCCGACGATACAGGAGCTTGTCCCTCACAGACACACCCCATGATTTAGGGGCCTATCTTTTCAGGATTCGGGTTGCAGCGTCTTCGAATGTACGTGCAGAATGCGGCTAAAGAGTCTAGGTTCGAGGTACATGCAATTTCTGGTGTGGGGGGTTTAGCATACCAATACACTGCGGGGGTGGACAGCTCTCATGTAAACCAACGCCTGCTTGCGTACTTCGGGGGGTGGGAAGTGGGGGTGGAGGCTTATACGACGGCAACCTTATAATTAGTCATCATGCAGGACGTGTGTTAAGCAAAGAACTCTGGCAAACGCGGTCCAGATCATCTAAGGTTTGGGGTTTAGGATTTGGGGTGCAACTGCTAGTCCACACTTTTCGGAACCGAACCCTACGCCCTGAACCACTACATCGTGCAGCCAAACATATCTCTTCACGGGCGCTGCAATGTCCAATCGTGGGTCCTGATGCAAATTTGACTTAATTAATTGCCGAGTTTACAAGCCAACACAAAAAGCCTTTCAGCTTTCATGGTGTCAACAATTCGACAAGATTGAAGTTTAACACCTCGGCAGCTAAGTGAAGCTCCCCTTGCGAAGCAAGCTCAGAGATACTCACATATGCCGTGCTTATTTATCGGCTCCCGCGGAACACCAAGTAAGGAAGAGCTCCAGGCCTATATCTTCTATATCGCTATTCGTCTATGTCAGTATAGTGACGCGGAAGCCGAACCTTGCAATGTGGCTAAAATCCTCCCTCGTCCCTAGACCCCTAAACCCTCTACACCCGTGCCGCCCGGGGGCCCTTCCACAAGTTGCACGAAGACGTGGCGAGCCATGTTTTCAGGGAAAGAGCCCTTCTTAACAATCCACTCGCCCAGTTCGCCGCCAGAGACCAGCTCCATAATCAGATACAGGTAGTCGAACTCTTCAACCTCATGTGCTCACGGTTCTAGCTTCAGCGACTTCGGGTTCGGGTTTATATGTAAGGAATGTAAGGGCGTACAGTAGAAGCCACCAGTCAGGGCATGTTTGAACCTGAAAACTAGAGGCCTGCAAAGGAAGCAACATGAATTCGCATCATGAAGTGACTAGCTGCACAACACTTGACTGTGGCGGCTGTGGCCATGACAACTTGTTGTGAAGTTTTCTCTCTGACACTTTGTCGACACTCTGTCTCTCTCCGTCCCTCTATGTCTCTCCTTCCCTGCAAAGGGCTCCAGCCTCTTGTCAGTTACGACGACGGATGATAAACGAGAGCACATGGAAGGCATGGGCAGCCATGTTTGTCGGAAAGAGCCCGTACTGCCGTACTGAGGCGTCGGCAACGTCCACCAGCTTCACGACACGCTCGTGCTTCAACGATAGGAGAATTTCAATCTCCTGATGCAGCCTGACGCCGTTGCATCGGACAGGACGGCCAGGCTTGCAACAAGATCTTCGCAGTTTCTGTCTTCCCCAGAGAACCCGAGACCTCTTAATCCAGGAATATACCTTAGAATATAGGGGCCTTAAAATTAGGGCTTTATTCTTTAATCTAAGGGGTGTTGGGTTCTCTGGGTCGGCAATCGAAAAGTTGAAAGGGGGTCTTGCATGAGCTCTCTCGGAATGCAGGATGATCATCCCCTGCTGCACCGGAAACACCAGCTATCTGGTCACAGGTCTCAGTGGGGTGTGTTGCAGATCAATGTTGGAGCAAGATATCTACCAAGCGCTGAGAAACACCATGGGTTCTGCCATGCTCAGAACAAGCCGGGACACTACACGGAGTTCCACCCGAATTAATTAGAGACATTCTCCGCACGAAACGGCTTTTCTAGGTGCACTCCGACGTGGCGTCTTAAGCTTCCAATTCCCATGAATCGTTGCCTGTCGGACACCCGCGAGAAGCCTCGACTGTTGCTGGGATCAAGGCGTTCGGGGCTTGGAGGGGTTATGGGGTTTGGGATGCAGGATTTGCGGTTTCGAGCCCTTGTGTAAGTTCATCGAATACAAACCTCGCGAAATCCAGTATCGTGCCGCCTTGCCTTCTGCGTTCGCATGCCCTCCGAATAGAGGGGCAATACAGGAGTCTCAATACGTAGTCGTAACATCCCTAGTCCGTATAGACAATGAAAATATAGTGTGTACTCCCAAACCGTCTAGGTTCTCTAGTAGCCCCTTTAAAAGTGCAAAAGGGTACTACTGGAACCAAACCGTAATCAGATTGCGCAGGCCCGTAAACTGTGAGAAGGATCCCGGGCCACCAACTTCCCGCGATCTCTTGGGCCCGAGCTGTAGGAAAGATAAATACGTAGCTATTTAGCTTTTAGAGTTTGGGGCCTTCACTCAACAATATTGACCCCCGCAAGATTACAAGGGAGTAACCCCACACACCAAACCCTTTCACTGAATCCACTAAGAGCATCCGTGTTTTTGGCTTCGGGCTTCGTTGAGTTCATGGGTTCGGGAGCCGCAAAACTCTGCACAAAATCCTGTAAATGATATATGGCGATGCGTCCAGCACCTGCAGTAGCCTCGGGCAGCTTCGAAGAAAAGCTGCAAGACCCACAAGGCTCTTAGTATTCACATTTGCCTCATGTTAGGGTATAGTAGATGATGCTATTTGATTTTGTGTATACGGGATACGGTGTTACACTATGTTTCATTTACTTTATGTTACATGTCTTTGCATTACATTACAATACATTACATTACATTACATTACATTACATTACATTACATTACATTACATTACGTTACATTACATTACATTGCATTACATTACATCTCATTACATTGCATTATACTAGTATACATTGAAGTATACTTTGTTAAATTATGTTATGAGTTTGTGTATATATATATATACACATTGATTTACACGATAACATGTTATAGTTTGTTCTATCCCAGAGTATCGTATTCTTTGTATTATAATATACAAATTACATTGAACGTCATTCCAACATATCGTATTCTATACCCTTCTAGTGTGCTTATATGATGTTGTATTGCATTATATCACATTATATTAAACTCTAATCATACTCTAATCTTCTCTATTATGCTACAGTATAATCAGTTACACTGTTCCATTCCATTACATTGTGTTATATTGTAATATACTTATTCTGTTCTATTCTATTTTATTATATTGTATCATATCACATCATATTATATTCTATTCTATTCTATATCATATTATGCGACAGCCGCAAGGTAGAGATCCAATAACTAGGCATGAGTACGCCTTCCTGATTCCTCGAAGTCTCCAAGCCACAAGCTTTGGGGTTTTAGGGTTTAGGGTCCAGGGCTTAGGCTCCAGACTAAACTGCTAGCATCCGTAGTTGTTGGATTACTTGCAACCCCAAGCCCTGTAAAATCTCGAGCCGGTGCCCTACACCCTGCATGAGACCGTAAAGCCTTAAACCTGAAGCCCTTCATCTCCTAACGGCCCAGGGGACCCCGAACCCCTGCTTCCAAGGAGCCCGGTTGATGACGTAGTTTCTTCAGGCTTATGGCCTTTACCGCAAAGATCTCCTCTTTGCGATGAGTTTAAGGTTCCATCGAGATGAGTGTACGGGCTTCAAATCCAGGGGGTACAGTGTACCCCAAAGGGTTCAAGTTATGGTATAGTATATACTTTTGGGGCCCCAATACCTACAAAGTAGCTACCATATTAAGGGTGACAGTTGCTAGGCCAATGTGCACGAGGTTTTGGGGCGTCGGTGCTGCGGTGCAGAGCTATCCATACAGGGAGCTTAAGTTCTGAGAACGGTAACGCGCCTGTGGCTCAGAGGGGTCCATGATGCTCAGGATTTTAACTTGCCGGTCATCCTGGGGCTTGCCAAGACAAAACCAGAAAACATAAACCTAAATTACTTGAGCCAACATGCACAGACAGAGACCCTGGTTTTCGGAAACCATCATATGAGTCCTGTCCACGCTTGCACTTGTACACCTTCGAGGTGACTCCAAAACCAATCCTGGTCAGAGAGGGAATGCAGCTCTAAACTAATTATGGGCTCCATCGAATGTACCTGTTAGATCCTGCAGTTCGGGTTTAGGGCTTAGGGTCGAGCAAGGATTGGTAGAATGACCAAGTACGCTCCTAACCCTGACGAGAGAAACAGATCAGTCTTGTGCTTGAACCTGACAGAAGGAATGCGGTGCCTAATATCTACTAATGATATTCCGTAATTACGGCTCCTTAGTATGGTTATACTGTACGGAAGCCCAAAACCCTGTTGGAATAAGGTTAGAAAGCTCCACCTCAATTGCTCTCAGAACCGATGCGAGCGACTACAGGCACATACATGTATAATGTCTGTCTGTACATATCTATATCTACACGCAAACTTGTTATGTCGGTATGTAAATATATATATATATATATATACGTATGTGTGTGTGTGGAGTGTGTGTGTGTGCGCGTGCATGTATTGGTCTACACATCAGCATGCATGCACAGATAAACAAATATACTAAGTATATGTTTGTACATCTGTACATGTGTATGGAAGCGTTGCTGTGCACATCATCTGCTCTGCGTTTCTTTGACCCTGATCTTCTTCGTCGTTATGCAGCTCAGCTTCTCCTCCAACAAGGTGTACAAGAGCGGGTTCTCTGGAGGTCCGAAGCATTTCTCTGATGGCCTCCAAACGCATGGGCGCACAGGGCCTACCCGAGCTTTAAGATGCAGCTCCTGCTGTTGTTTGCCAGGTGTCTCTGTTATATCGAGATGCCTAGGAAGCCATCTAGGCGATAAGTTGAAGGCCTACAGCCAAGTAGGAGCACATGAAGTCGCCATGGTTGAAAATAGTCTTGCGTAACACGCTGCCGCGATCGCTTAGAAGACATCTGCCTGGTCGGCATCGCAGGTTGAAAGTCTTGCACAGAGGACTTCGCAACTTGCAGCGCCGGAATCGATGAGCCCGCCGTCGTTTGCGGCTGCGTGGCCTTGCCTGTCCTCGTGCGCAAATCCTTCTCCTGATCGGAAAGGTCCAGTATAACCAAAACATCAGTGAAATCTGTTCTAGCAGGCCGTTGCCTCCCCACACACCGAGGTGGCCCTCCATCAACAAGTGGGTAGTTCTCTACATTAGGGTCCGTTTTAGGGTCCATTCCATAAGGATGCCGCCTTCTTTCGGGTTCCCAGCAAGGAACCCCACTTGAGAGAACTACCCAGATATGAATCAAATCTGCCGAGTTGCAAGACGAGTTCGCTCCAGCGGCTTTAAATCCATCTTCTCCACGAAGCTGCGCCAGTTCGCCCGAATTTCGTCCATGGATGATGCTCCGTTCCTGGTTCCCCAATATATAGCCCCTTTGAAATAAGGGCACCCTTTTCCCTACCGGCCCTACCGTTTGGCTTTAATAAGGGAGCGCAGAACAAAAAAGGGCAAAAGGGTACTGGGGTAACCCAGGCTCTCTTCAGACCACTCCAGCAAGGCTTCGGAGTGGTGTGCCAAGTGCAGCTCTTGCATCCAGTCCTAGTCAAAATCCCTTTTTTTGCACGAGGTCGCTCTGAAGTGCCTC